CAAATATTAAATGAAGTTAAACCAGTTTTTAGAAAGTTTCATGAACAAAATGAAAAAATTATACTTGCTGTTGGTGGCGCCATTTTTTGGGGTGGCTCCACTTGCCTCATCCAGTGGAGGGATGGTGGGGTCCAACCCTGCCTCATCCTCCTGGTAGGCCTCATCGTCGCCATCAAGCTTGTCACCCTCTGCGGCATCACGGGAGTACTTTCCAAGCACCACGTTTGTCTGGTCATAGAGGTACTCGACCCTGATGAGCTCCTCTAAGTCCTGACAGAAAGAAATGGATTATTTTTTTTGAAAATGCACAGCTAATTTAGACTGCGCATAGAGAATGCAATGCAAGAAAATACAAGAATCTGCCATTACTTTTGTTAGCAAAATAGTTTTCAAAAAAGCTAGGAATGTTAATGCATACCAGTGTACTTCTGGGTAATGCTGAGGGTGGGGTTGATGGGTTCGCTGAGCACATGCTGTCCCAGCAAGTCAACAGTGTACTGCAGGTAGCCGCAGTAAACCGGTATTCGGGGGCATCAGCGGCAATGGCTTCTGAAGCACGGTCTGCATTCCAGCGAACCAGTCCATCCATCAGGTGCGCCTGGAAGTGGACGTCATTGGTAGTGGTCCCTACGGATTTAAGTCAATACTTTGATCAAATATTTGTGTCTGAGTTTATGTGCCAATTCAAATTTATGTAGGATGACTGTCCACTGTTGTGGCATTTCAAAGAAGTTAAGTCTTACCAAGAATGAATCTGTTGAGGTGGTTGTGAAAGGACTCCAACAACGTTGACCTGCAAGCACATCAGTAAGTGGGAAGTTGTACACTGCCTATGCAGGCCTCCTCTGTCTTGGTGTAGAGTTGCACTTGCTGTTTACAGCCTTCGCAAACTGATACCAAACTTAAGAAACGACTGCAACATGTAAGCAAACTAGTTTGTTTTTTTAAAATAGGATTATCACTTTCTTGATGGAGTCAACTTTGGGGATTGTAATATGTATACTTGGGGACCCCAAGTTTTTTAACATTTCAATCTTGCAAAACTGGTAAGCCCCCCCCAAAAAAAGGACAGGAAACACTCTCTTTATTGCGCTTAATCTATTTTTTGGAAATTTCAAATTGTAAATTGTGAGAAAATATGACTTTTTTACTGATAAACTAACAATGCAAATTTGAATTCACCCTTAAACACTCAAAGTTTCCCCTCAAAATTTCCCTTGAAACCGAAAACCCTACCCTTTTTTGACAACATTAAGCCTACAGTTATTGAGCATGATGTCACAGTCATCTACCAAGGTCAATTCAAAAGTTAAAATGTAACTCTCCCTTCTATTGGAACAGAGTCCCCAAATTTCCAATACCCACAACTTAACTTTGAGCACCCGGCCAAAAGAAGACGTAATGGCTGCCTTAGTCTCATCGATGCGCTGCAGAACATCACTGACGTAGACCGTCAGCAGCCAACTGTAGGTGAGGATGGGTGTCATGGGGGTATCAAATGTGGGGGCGGGGGGATAAGGCCACGCTTGCTAGCGGCCTTGATAAGCCATGGAACTACCTCTATGGATAAACTCGTGGGATTGGGACAGGTAGTAGGCTATTCTCTGGAGCCAGGCTTCACTGTGCTGCTTGTGCAACTTCCTCCGCAGCTGTGAGGGGCTGTTGCCCAGCCCTGACCCTCGGGACCTAAGGCGCACCACCTTGATGTCACACAGNTTGCTAGCCTTGATAAGCCATGGAACTACCTCTATGGATAAACTCGTGGGATTGGGACAGGTAGTAGGCTATTCTCTGGAGCCAGGCTTCACTGTGCTGCTTGTGCAACTTCCTCCGCAGCTGTGAGGGGCTGTTGCCCAGCCCTGACCCTCGGGACCTGAGGCGTACCACCTTGATGTCACACAGAAGCCTATGTCAAGATGGCAGGAAACTGGACTCGGCCACCGATGTCCAGCGGCAGTTGACATTATTCTTGCAGCGACAGCGCATGCACATGTACGTGCACAGTACATGTACATGTACTTTGTAGGCCGTACGTGTGTACGTACGTCTGCGGTGGGTCGGAAACATTTGCATCCAAACCGGAGAGAGGGCCAAAACGACCGAAAAGCGCGTTTGAAATTCGCACAAACACCTCTTTTTTCACTACGATGAGTCAAGATTTGGCAAATTTGAGGCGAATTAGCGTACTTCATGTGTCCGGGAACCCCTTCCGCCCTGTTTTGCCTGTCTTCTTGCGTTTTTACACAACAGAGAAGATTGGCCGACATCCCCTGTCACCACTTCAGAACAAGAATTGGAACAAGAATTGGAACATTTCGACCAATCACAAACCGCCATTCCCAAAATTGGAACATTTGGAACACTCGCTTTTTGCAAATGCTTATTTGTACGATTGGCAGTCCATAGCCTCCTTCTCCGTGTATAATTTCGGGGCCGGTATTCTCCTGCAGCTACTGTGTGAGTGAATAGGTCAAATAGGTACGTTGATGTGATTTATATTTCGATTCGTTCATTGTGTGGAAAAGGTGGCCTGCCGTACGCTTGTTGTTGCCCGATTTTTCCGCGAGGGAAAACCGGGGCTATTTGGTCGGTGATTTCGCAGAGACGTGGTGGCTTTTGAGACTGAAGGTTTGCAAAGTTTGTTATTGTGTTTTATCAGATTGTGTGGCCCAAATGACCCAGGGGAGTTGGTGTTTGTATCTGTCAAAGATGGTACTCTCCGGAATTTGGCCCACCCTACGTTGAACGAATGAATGCGAAGTGAACACAGTTTATGCATGTTTGGCCTGGACGGATAATGGGAGTTCATTTAATTTCTGCCTGAATCACCTTACAGGGGTCGTTTACAGACGTGGAGATATTCACAGAGAAGGGTACGATTTTTTATGTGAGTCTGTAGCCTGATTGACCCTCGGGAATAAATTTGTTTTGGTCCTTCCCAAATTTGGCCCAAATTTCGAACGGGCTCTTGATGGTCAGATAGTCCCTAGCCTAGGCCCCTATTTGTTTTTTCCTTTCTTTCTTTTCTTTACATGCACATGATATATTAACACAACCGAATGTTTTGTTCAACTGTTTGTTGTTCCATACAATTTTTTTTTGGGGGGGGGGAATTAATTGTAGGCTATGTGTGCGTGGGTAAGCATGGTAAGGCCTAAGGGGATCTGAACTGTTGTTTGCATTGCTGCACTTTTTAAGGAAGAATAAATGGGCAATCCTTGTTACTTACTCATTTATGTGTAAAATGGAGTAAATGAAAGATGGTTAAAAACAAGTCAAACTTTAAACTTACTCTGAGAGCAAGAGCAGCCAGACCATATGATGAGCTGTCGTGTGTTTTAATGGAATTTTCATGCTGACTACCTTTTTTCAGGTGGATTACATGTAGGAGAGGTCATCAGTGTTGCGTACCTCTGCGACGAAAGTAACAAGGTCGTAGGAGAATAATCCCCCAATGATTTTAAGGAGGACCAGTCCCAGAATGTGGGCAGTTGTAGGCTGCATTCATTGGTGGATCCTGGATGGCGAGGCGGAATTTATCCATCAACTTTGACATGTGGTTGAAGACATGGTTTTTAATGCTGCCAAATCCATGTGCAATGATAAAAATAGAAACAGGTGGAAAAGCTTGCGATAGCACCATGTGAAGGAATATACCTCTCTTATGAGTATGTGTGGTTCTGAAAAGAACCGGGAGTATACTCGACGTTTCGGACTGCGTGCTAAGTCTATCGTCAGGAGACTGAAGAGATGCCGAAGATGGGGCTGGGACTGAGCACGCATGCCTTTCCACCTGTTGCTGGCCTTCACCGTGAATAGCCTGAAATTCCATCTGATAAAAATAGAGTATGAATGGAAACATTGTGTGATCTTACTAAATAAGTGCTGGTTGAGCACAGGTTTGGCACTGATTTTTAACCCCAAATAGTCTTTGCTCACGGTCAGCTCCGAAAGAATACTCTGTTTGTATCATTTTGCCTTGGATTTGAAGGTCCCAAGCCCTTAGACAAAAGCAGAGGGAAAACCATTGCTGCAGAGGTAAGGAGTGCACTTTATTTTTCAGGGAATGTGTCTGGAAATGTGATGCATTGAATATGTTGGAATCATGGAGGACTCTTGACATCATCATAAAGTTCCAGTGGTTTTTTTTAAAGAAGCCAGGAAATTGCAATTCCCAAGAAAGTTTGTTTTGTTCAACACCAGTTAAAACGGCAGACAGTCAGTAGACATATTTTTTTAGAAATACAGTCAACTCTCGTAAGACTTGACATATAACTTTGTTTACTGCCCGACTGTATACAAAACAACTTGGAAAAATATAGCAAAACATCCATTAAGAAATGGGGATTCTTGTGATCATTTCCTTCAAACTAGTACATTAGCAGTGTTCTCTGAATCAACTGTATTCACATCATTATCAAATTATGTAATTTTTGGAAGTGGCTAGCATGACGGTAGTTGCCAAATTAGAAGATTTCTGAAAAGGTTCTTTATTTTGTACCCAAATTTAACTGGTTCACCAAAGAAAGGGAAGTATCACCATTTATTCGCACTTTCCAAAGACCATGGTTTTATTTCCGAAAAAAAAATTCACACTCAAATGAAAGAATTGAAAGCACTTTACAATTATGGGTTACTAAAGTTCATATGAGTACACTACTGTTTTGAGTTTTCTGGGAGAATAAATACCTGTATTATCAAATATCTGAAAAGAATCGAATGCAAATGCAGAAACTAATAACCAAAAACAAATGGAACTCAGTGCTTTGAAAGTAAATTTTTGATTGGTGGCATCTAATGCTGAGTTTTCAGTTTTGCCACCCGCACCCGAAAAAGGATTTCTGTCGGTGTTCAGCTTTGCCTCTTTATGTTTTTTTTCCCTCTTTATTCAGCTTGGACAGGGAGTCGTGTGAAGTCAACTGTGATAGTGATTTCAAGAACCACCATAGCATGAGGAGCAGTTTCATAGGCTACCATTCCTAAGCAGTTTGTCTTCCAGATTCATTACCCCTTTTCTGTGCTTCTGAGAAACTGCAATTTCATGAAAAATGCCACTGATGTGAAGGTCAGCCGAAGCCAAGTACTCTCTTTTCCTGTTCCACCTTTAAATTTCCAGCACTTTTCATTCAGATTTCAGTTTCCTAGTGCATGTTGGAGTGTTAATTCATTGACTGCTTCATCCCAATTAAAATTATTTCAAAAAAAAAAAATTATATTTTAGCTTGACAGAATTTTTTTAAAATCGTCATCCATATTAACTATTACAGCTTGCTTTTTAAATAAACTTTGAAAGGGAGGCACTGAGTGCATGCAACAATGAAGTAAGCTGACCCCTCATAATTATTGGTTTATACTCTGAATTAACAGTTTTCATTTTAAGATTTTTTTGAAATGCTTCCCTTTAGAATGAGGCCCATAGGCTTGTCTTCTTTATTCCATCACTATAATGTGACAGTCACCGCACTCTACAAAATAAAGCTGAATGCCTGAAAACATGAGAATTTGTCCTGAGGATTATTTTCGACTGTCACCATCTTGAAAAATTTTGGAAGAAATCTTTATATAGCAACTGAATGATCTTTTTATCCTGCAGCTTTTGGAAATTATCAATTCATCAAGTCCTAAATGAGAAAAGAGTTTCCTTGGATGACCTTAGCTTTTGGTAATCCATATAAAAAACTAATAAAAATAGAGCATAAGGAATTGTCCCTGAAATTGTTTGGCTTTTGTTGAGGAAATATTTTCCAAAGTAGATTTCATAATTTTTGTTTGTAGTCACAGATTTTTCAAATCGAACTCTTTTTTTGTTCATTGCTCATGGGGTTGGCAGCATTAAAAACCGTTTTGTTGAACCACCAGTGGATTTGTGTGGAGTTCAGCACCACCGTCCAGGATCCGTCGAGTGTGGACTGACCAGTGCCCACATCACAGCCTACCACTAACATTCTTGCCTACTGTTGCCCCCCTCGCTGCTGATGTTTGTGGGGGGCGAGGCAGGCTAATGCCCATCTCTAGCACTACCTGCTCCTGCCCCTTGGACTTCTCGTTGTACCTGATTGAAGAAATGATACGGTTTGACCAGATGAATGTTTGCTATTAATTTAGCACAGACACCCTTCCACTTTGTACAAACATAAGAAACTGCAGTTCGTAACCAAATACTTGGGCTCAATTGTTACTTTTCCTGTTTCCCATGTCACAATCTCATGATAAATTGCATGAGGGTTGGCATGTTAACCTATTTTCACTCAATGATAGTGTATGTGGTTTTTCCTTTTTTTCCCCAGGGCGTGAGGGGGGTGATGGCTGATCAAACATTTCAGTGCTCTGTGCCTTTGGAACTTTTCCTTTTATTCGTGTTGATTCACAGCACACTAAAATGAATTAACAATTCATATCAGTGGATGAGGGTTTGCTGGTTGATTTCCATCCGCTGTATATGGATGTTTCGGACAACTGTGGTGTTTGACAATACTTTTTGTCAGATGTTCCCATAGGCCTTGGTCACAAGTGCACATCGCTGTGTGGTCCTACCCCGCCCTCAGTCTGGTCCCGGAAAGTGGAAGCACAGCTTATTGATGAGGCACTCCATGTACCGGTTACTATCAAGTCAGGTGGCTGGACCGGTGTTCTCGCCTAAGAAACATCGGTGTAAAAAATAACAAAAGTGAACAAGGGAACAATCGAGTACATGATCATACGACAACTGTTATGCTCCTACACTCTGTTGCCAACTATTGAACGCGTGTTACAGTCAAACTTTGTTCATAAGAGCACTGAAAAATTGAAGTTTTTGCTTATAACAAAGAAAACTTCAGGTTCAAGTTCTTTGTCTTTTATTCCTCACAATACAATGTTCCAAAGGACCTCTTATTGAACACCTCTTATTGAAGAGATTTGACTGTAAATTGGTATGACTTGTTGACTTGTTCATACCTTCTAGTGTTGCCAATGCCAGCAATAACAGAAGTCCCTTTTGACTGTTTGAACCTCCCTTTTGAGAGCTTGGGCTGGTGGTGGGGTTTGCGATGGACAGTCTTGTCAAAACTGTGGAGTGCATTCCACAGTTTGATAATGTCGTCCGCCTGGCTCTGGCTGATGACACCGCTCCCATGCCGGAACTGAAAGAGGTAGTCTGCCAGAGCCTCTACCCTGTTATACCCGGAAATGTTGTGAGCCCGACGTTGTTGTCCTGCATAA